TTTAGTTTAGGGTACTGTAGTACATGCATTAAGTGTTCTGTACATTAAAGGGTGGTTTGTTAACAGTACTACGTAAAGGGAGGGTTTTAAAAGTCTGAATATACATGTTAAATAAATACGTAAATATGGTGTCCCTACTTCGCGGATTTTCAGCTATCGCGGTCGGGTTTGGAACCTATCTACCGCGATAAACGAGGGTTCACTGTAATCCGGGGACTGCCTTTACTTTATTAGAGGGTATAACTGGGGTGGTAGAATACTTAGGAACAACTCAGAAGCCATTCCAATTTGAAAGTTAAAGATTAAAATACTTTGATATATGCAAATGAAAGCAAAAATCAGAGAGATAAAACTTTACCTTTAATTTACTGCCAATTGTGTCCATATCATGACTTTTATGCCTATTCAGCTGCCTGCAGTGGAATGCTCATATCATGAAATGTCCCTTGATTTTCATCAAGTGCAGTTCTCTGATTTGGGTCTTAAGGTCAGAATGCAGTGTCAAATCAAATGAAGGTTTATCCATTTCCTCAGTCTGCATATCTGCATTTGCTACCTTCTGTTGAGATCGCCTGTTTACTTGAGTCTCTTCCAGCAGCTCTGCCTCTGTTTTCTTTGGAACAGATGCTTTAACGTTCAGAAGATTGGCAGACTTCTCTACAATAGCATTCCTTCTGAGACTATACTTGCAGCTCTAATATTTTCTCTCCACCACTCATTTAATTTGAGGGCAATAAAATCAACTTGTAGCCAATTCTAACATTTTTTCTGCTTCTTTGTGGCCCATCTCATTGTGGATTCCTTATAATGTGTGTCTTTGTCTAAAGATTCACTAACTGTCCCAAACCACATCTCTCCTCTAAACCTTCCCATATAAAATCCCTTCTGTTAGGAAGAGTTTTTTGGCCGTTCTTACAAGTATGGTTGGTTCTCATAGTTCTGCTACTTTTTCTCATTCTGATTTGGTCTATGGCAAGACTTCAGTAAGTGAATCACATATTCTTTCAGTCAGTGAAAATAGAATCTTGGGCACTTGGTCTTCCAGGCTATTGACTTGGAATGTGAAACTCAGGTGGTATGCTGTCCTCATCACAAGACAGTGTTTACAAATCCTGTAGTACCTCCCTCAGCTGTAGGGCTTTGCTCTTCCAGCCCATTCCTAGGGCTGGTTTTTACCCTTTAAGGGACAGTGCGGGAGAGACATCCCATCATAGTTACAAGATAATAAAAAAACTGTGGGAAGATTGGAGTTGTAGATAGAAAGTTTTGGGAAGAGATTAGGGTTATCAAATTAGGGATGTTAGCTATTATTTATTTTAGTAATCATATAGCCACAACAATTTTAGCAGTTACACAGTTATTAAAATACCCTTCCCCTCCCCCCCAGGCTCTGGGCCAGCACCCAGTGTGTTCCCAGCTCCTGGTCCCGCTCCCAGGAAACCCCTTGCCATCCTGGCTTCTGCCTCTGTATCAGAGGTAGCTGTGTGGGGTGGCTGACGGAGCTGGTCCCTGAGAGGAGCCAGTTTAAAAATCATACAGAGGCAGCAGTGCGGGGAGGCAGCAGCCCTTGTCTGTGAGGGGCCAAAGCTCCCTGTGGACAGAGGCTGCTTTGGCATCTTACAGACCAGCCTCTGTCTGCAGCAAACCCAGGCCCACTGCAGAGAGAGGCAGCAGCCCCTGTTCATTGGGGGCCGAGTTTCCCATGGCAGAGGCTTCTCCAGCATCCCGCCTGTCCTCCCCTTCTACGCCCTGCTGCTGCTGCTACAGAGGCAGCAGCTCAGGTGGAGGAAGGCAGCTTTGTGGAGCTCTTGCTTGTGGAAAGCCAGCTTTTAAGCCAGCTCTCCCCCCGCACGCCAAGCACTGGCTCCCTCCTCCCCACTCCCCACTGCCTTTGTGCAAGGCAGCAAAAGGGGAGAGGCAGCTCTGCAGGAGCTGATATGTGTGGAAAGCCAGCTTGAAATGCTAGCTTCCTGCATATACCAGCTCCTGCCTGCCACCTGTGCTGCTGCTTCTGTGGGAGGCAGTTAGACAAGTAGCTCATTGGGAACCAGCACGCTCAGGGAGCCAACTTAAAAGCCAGCTCCCCATGGGCACCAGCTCCCGCCTCCCCCTTCAGCCTTGCTGCCTCTGATGCAGGAAGTTTGTTGCCTCTGATACAGAAGCAGCAAGCGGGGAGATGAGTGCATGTAGTTGTTAGGATTTACTGATAACCTCACTCTGATCGGTTAATTGTTTAACTGCCTATAAGCTAATATCCCTACATCAAATGAAGCCTTAGGATATGTCTCATTAAAGGGAAATTGAAAGGCTCCAGGCACTTTAATTAAGATTGTATAGACCTGACTGATTTCCCCTTATGTATGGGCACCAGTCTGTCATAATTGAACTCAGCCTTTGGATCCCATGGTGGGATGTGGGCTGTGGGTAGATCCTGTTATGATCTTTAGATCTGGGCTTATAAGAATAACTTCTAGGTGCAGATCCTTGCTGGAAACCTTTTATAGGGACTTGAGATCACACAGTCCACCTGCCCTAGTCCTCAAGACCTGTGCTGAACTTCCTAAACCTCTCCAGTTGCTGACGCTTCTCTGAGATCAAATCCATTTTGGATACTCTGGCCTATAGCTTAACTCTTTGGTGACCATTTGACAGGTAAAATAAGGAACACAAACTTTGTGCATTATTTTCTAAAACCAAGTAACATTCATTCTCAAAGCATACAAGAGTTACAGATCTTTAGGTGAAATAACAAAAACTTATATGCCCTTATGCCTTCTTGTAGTCCTCAGGACATAGTCCATGTATTTAAGTGTAGGGCAGTGGTCAGTGAGTGAGAGAGGGAGTGGAGTAGATTTTGACCTCAACTAAACTTTCTGTCCCTTCTGTAAAGTAATTCATTCATGACTTCAGAGTCCTACTCAGGTGGCTAAAGTCCTAGCCGCTTTTGGAGACAGACTGGGAGAATCAGTTTTTTGCCTTATTGCTCATTTTATCAAATTCATTTTCCCCGTAGTCATTCAGAATTGATGGCCCTCTCATTCAGGGCCAGACACACATACACTTGGGGTATGTCTTCACTACAGTGTTATTTCAAAATAGTTAATTCGAAATAAGTTATTTCAAAATAACATATCTACACACAAAATACATTTCGAAATAGCGCGTCCACACTGAGTGGATGCTGAATCACATTTAAGGCCAAACGGAACCAGGTCCAGCAGGGCATCAGGTCAGGAGTTACTTTGTGTGCCTGCTGCTTGAGGGTATCTGAGGCCTGTGCTTAAAGGGACCCCCCCCCCCAACCCTGCTTGCTTGCCTACCTCGATGAGGCACAGCAAAGCATTTTGCTTCTGCGTGCTCTGGTTGCCTCACTCGAGACACCACAGCACTCTGCAACGTGGAGCCAGAGCTGCCCTTGGGCACTCTGGTACCTCTTGTGGACGCGTTGCTGCAAGCCTGGCTGCACTTGCTGCAGGCTGCCATCTGGAAGGTCCATCAGGGGGCTGTCAGTATCCAGGAGGCCCTGCGGGAGAGCTTCCACCCTGAGGAGCACTAAGAGCCTCCCTGGTCTGCCCCACTGGGGGCTTGTGCCTCTTTCCTCCCTAATGTCCAATCTAAACCTCCCCTGCTGCACTTTAAGCCCATTACTCCTTGTCCTGTCCTCAGAAACCAAGAGGAACAAATTTTCGCCTTCCTCCTTGTGACACCCTTTTAGATATTTGAAAACCGCTATCATGTCCCCCCTTAATCTTCTTTTTTCCAAACTAAACAAGCCCAGTTCATGAAGCCTGGCTTCATAGGTCATGTTCTCTAAACCTTTAATCATTCTTGTCACTCTTCTCTGTACCCTTTCCAATTTCTCCACATCTTTCTTGAAATGTGGCACCCAGAACTGGACACAGTACTCCAGCTGAGGCCTAACTAGTGCAGAATAGAGCGGCAGAATGACTTCACGAGTTTTGCTTACAACACACCTGTTAATACAACCTAGAATCATATTTGCTTTTTTGGCAACAGCATCACACTGTTGACTCATATTCAACTTGTGGTCCACTATGACCCCTAGATCCCTTTCCGCCATGCTCCTTCCTAGACAGTCGCTTCCCATCTTGTATGTATGGAACTGATTGTTCCTTCCTAAGTGGAGCACTCTGCATTTCTCCTTATTAAACCTCATCCTGTTTACCTCCGACCATTTCTCTAACTTGCTAAGGTCATTCTGAATTATGTCCCACAATATCTTACTTGAGACGGGGTGCAGGATCGGGGAATCCCCGATGCACCGCCACACACCGAGTGCTGAGAGATCTCTCCCCCAGCACTCGTGTTTAAAATGCTACCACGGCTGCGTTTTAAACTTAAAAGTTTAAAGCCTAAGTTGCCCAGGCTTTGGTTTCAGCCTAGGGTGGCAGGACTTAGAGCTCTAGATTTCAGTACCATGTGGTGGTATTTTGGCTTTCTGCTGTGAGCCCCAGCAAGTTTATGGTCCTGATTGGCAGACTCCCTGAAATTCCTGAAAGAACCATTGATTCTAGATTAAATTGTCACACCCAGGAGCCAGAAAGCAAGGGGGAGGCGGGGACCAACTATCCAATAAGCTTTTTGCTTATTCAGTAGGGGTATGTCTACACTACCCTGCTAGTTCGAACTAGCGGGGTAATGTAGGCATACCGCACTTGCAAATGAAGCCCGGGATTTGAATTTCCCGGGCTTCATTTGCATACGGTCTCACATGATATTCTTATTGATAAACTAGGCAAATATAACTTAGATAGGGCCACGATAAGGTGGGTGCATAATTGGCTGGATAACCGTAGTCAGAGAGTTGTTGTTAACGGTTCTAAATCCTGCTGGAAAGGGATAACAAGTGAAGTTCCTCAAGGGTCTGTTTTGGGACCCGTACTGTTCAATATCTTCATCAACGATGTAGATATTGGGATAGAGAGTACGCTTATTAAGTTTGCAGATGATACCAAACTGGGTGGGATTGCAACCCAGTACCTCTTTTGCTATGTGGTATGTACAGTTGTCCATAGCATCAGTTTAAAATACATATGCCCATTTTCCTATAGCAATTATTACAGGAGAGTACAAAAAACCATAGATCGAAAAATGAAAAAGAAAGAAAACTATCTCAGTCTTTCACACTAGACATTACTACAGATGAAAAACAAAGTATTGGGAAAAGAGGGCAAGCTAAGCATAAAAACCAATGTTTTTACCAAGATAAGAGTTTTGTTTCTTAAGTTCTATCTGCAACGAGCTTAAAATCTTTTTTTAAGAAACTCTATTTAAACTTGTTTTCAATGTAGTTCCTGGCAAATGAGTGAGCACACTCCTACCTAAATCTGTCTTTATTGACTTTAGACACTTTTAACTATAATTAGATTTCTTTCCTTTCACCCCCATCCTAGCCTATGTTTTTCAAGGATAAACATGTTAAGCTTGAAAAGCTGTTACCACTAACTCTTCTAATCAAATTTGTTTTTTGAATCTCTTGACTTTTCCATCACGGACCTCTTTTTTCATATTTGGTGCTTAAAAATGTACACAATAGACACCCTACAAACATCCCCTTTTAAGTGGAACTATTATTTTTCTTAGCTTTTTAAGTTCCTGAGTTTTTTTTTAATTTTATTGATTTAATTTAGACCATGGATGTTTAAAACCTCGTACATGTATTTTTAAATAAGACTGTTTAAAGTGAGGTATCTTTGAAAAACATTCATTATGTAGAATTATACTGGTACAGCATGCACATCTTCTTAATAAAAATATTTGACACTGAAAGAATGCTTGAATGTGTTACCATAAAAGTAGATTGTTTCCTTGTGGATAATATGAAAATCCCAGTATCCACACACTGTAATACACTCAGTAAATCTGTCATGATTGAATGTAACCTTTATTACATGCAGGCTGGGAGTTAGATCATGCCATTTTTTAGGCACTGCAGACTGAATGTTGATGACATACACATTACAGCACAGGCATGTTCTAGCAGGGCACAGCTGCAGGCAGAAGCTAAAGAACAATTCATTTTTCATGTGTATATCTTTCTTTTGTTTTGACTCTAGATACATGTTTTATGATTAACAGAGACTGCTTTAAAATGCCCGTGTGTAGGTAGCTAAAGCAGACGGCAGAATGCAGGAGAAGCTTAGCTTTACTGTGAAGTCTGAGTGTAACCTAACTAGCTAGAGGATATGCAATTCCTGATTGACAGCAGGACTAGCATTATGCAAATGCTGTAAGAGCTAACAGCAGCTGGGAAACAGTGATCAGGGGCTCTGTTAGGGATCTCTACACACGCCACACTTATCTCTCTAGTTTTTATTTCTCCTTCTGCTGTTGTGATTTATTTCAACAATCAATAAATTACACAAAACATTTGTTGCTTTTTTGACGTTATTACATTTAAAATCTCAGAGCAGTTTCAGTTTTTCAGCTAGAGATCTGTGTGAGAGCTTGTTACTCAAACTAAATTGTGTTATTTTCAGCTGGACAACATGCTTATCTTTAAACCTTTCTGTTTTTAAATCCTGTGCATGTCTGGTCTCTTCATACTAAAGTGTATTTTGCTTGTTTCTTTCTGTCGTCTTCAGTTTGAAGCCTTATGTAGGTCAGGCTTGGCTTAAGCAGATTTCCTGAACCTGCGTCAGCTTAAGCTGAAGGAATTTTAATAAACCCTCCCTTGTAGGCGTGGGCCTAAATGAGACTAGCCTAGTTAAGCCTGATCTTTTTCTGTTTGTGAAAAAGAGCTGAGCAGAGCTAGGGACTGCATGGTGGTTTCAAAAACTGACTCCTTAATTCAGAGATAAGAATGGTTGGAAAGGCCAGATCTTCTAATTTTACCTTGTCTGAAAAGCTTGATTTGCTAAAACTCGTGAAGCCGTATGTTAAAATTCTTGAAGAACATACAAATAAGCATTCAGTAATAGTGGAAAAAAACAAATGCTGGGATATCATAGCCGATAACTACAATGCCATCGGAGTAGATCGCCCTCCTCGTACTGCACAGGGCCTGCGCACGCTGTACAAGAGGCTCAAAGAATATGCCAAACAGGAGCTGTTGCAGCAAAAGGAGACCCATTCAGATTATAAAAGCAGCATTTCTGAGCCAACCAAGAAAGTTGTGGAGATGATTCCACAGATTTCCAGTGTGTGTTTAAGAGACAGGAGCAGTTTACAAAGGTGAGATACATTTTACTTTGTTATTAAATTAAAATTATGGCGCCTCCTACCTACTCTCTAAGGTTTACTCAGTGTCCTAAAGCAAATACCCACAACAGAGCTGAAAATAATTGGAAACAATAGCTTGATACTATTTCCTTTGTTTCATGGTAACTTAACACTGCATGCAATTTTCAGCTGTTACAAAGCCTGTTTCAATGTCTTGTGTCATATTCTAGAAGGTGAGGGTTAAGAGGGAATCAGAAAAATAGTAGCTCAAACCTTAACCCCTCCCTCACCTTTTAGTAGGCAGATTGTTCAATCACTGATACTTTAAATGGAGGATAGCCATCACTTTAATACTGCACTTACCTTGCTGCATATAAAACTATTACCAGTTTACATAAGTGCCATATAAAGTTCAGGAAACCAAGGAGTCTATTTCATATACATGGTCTGTATAATAAATTACTCTTTTAAGCAAATATTGAATATGTTTTAACTCAGTCCAGACCTTAGACACTTTAGTCTCCATATAGTAAAATGCCTTTAACAGTACAAATAAATTTTTATAGATTACCTTTCATTCACTTGCTGACATTTTCTGAGACCAGAGCAAAGCAAATTTCTATATAACTGTAAATAATATGTGTCTTTTATGCTAGGAGGTTTGTAAACATATAGACAGAGATTGTGGAACTACAGAATTAGAAGTTTTATTTGATTGTTCTTTCTTTCTTTCTTTCTTTCTTTCTTTCTTTCTTTCTTTCTTTCTTTCTTTCTTTCTTTCTTTCTTTCTTTCTTTCTTTCTTTCTTTCTTTCTTTCTTTCTTTCTTTCTTTCTTTCTTTCTTTCTTTCTTTCTTTCTTTCTTTCTTTCTTTCTTTCTTTCTTTCTTTCTTTCTTTCTTTCTTTCTTTCTTTCTTTCTTTCTTTCTTTCATCTCTCTATGAAGTGAGATACTATGTAGATTTGAGCCAGACATAATACAAGCAAGCAG